GTCTATTTCAAATGAAAAGAGAGACCAATGTCACATACTGTCATATATATATATATATATATATATATATATATATATATATATATATAATATATATATATATATATATATATATATATAAGGATCACTCAGACGAGTGGTGGGTTCTTATATCGGTCTCTAGGTGGAGAAATAAAAGACAAAGTTGATAGGCTACTTTATCTATTTTGAAGACGTTTCGCTTTCGAGTTTTGAAAGCATCATCTCGAAGCAAAACTCGAAAGCGAAACGTCTTTATATATGAATCGGTTATTTATGAAAGGCCTCATGTCACTTTTTTCAAATTTTCGTTTAACTTAGAAAATGATAACCCATATGTTCACACATAATTTGCTTATGAAAAGCCTCATGTCTTGTTATTCCTTTATCAGGTGTATTAGTTTAAAATTATTGTTTATTTATGAAAAGCCTCGTGTCAGTGACAATGGGCTTTTCATAAATAAAAGCACTGTTGGCAACATTGCGCTGTCGGCTGATTGTTGACAGATATTCAGTGTTTGGATATTAATAATTAACCTCTTGTTGTTTTATTTTATAATCAACTGTTAAATAATAAAGTAAAATATTTCTCTTCAGTTATTGTTAAAGTGATTTAACTTATGTTTTGAAATAACGTCAGAGAGTGAAAATCTCGTTGAAATTGAAGCAGATAGCAAGAAGCGAAAGAGGGGGGTTCGTTACCATGAAGAATATAATTTTAATCGAATTAAGAAAGCTAGATGTCGTGGTAAAGGATATCTAAATTATAGAGGAAATGTTGAACCACGAAAAACAGGATTACCATGCTCGTAAGTTTTAAAGTCAGTTTTAAAACCTTGCTAAGTTTGACAATAGTTACCTTTTTCAAATGTTGCAGATGCAGATTGAGATGTTTAGAGAAGTTATGTGAGTAGGACGAAGTTGAAATTTTATGCAGAGGGGTAAACTTTGCAAACAAAAGTGAGCAAGACCTTTTTTACCAGTCCTTAATAGAAGTAGGGCCCGTACGGAAGAGGAGGTCAAGATTAAAACAAAACACTTCCGAAGATGAAGCTGAAGATGTTTTTTTTAAGCCCAAACATTTTGTATATATATATATCCCGTTTATAGCGTAATCCGCCTTTGGGTTCCCGTTCGCCAAGCCTGTCTATTCTGCCAGTCTTCTTCAAATAGATTTCTTGCTGACATGGCTTTTGAAATTCCTTGCATCCATGTTGTTGGTGGTCGTCCTCGTTTTCTTTTCTCTGGTGGTACCCATTCTAATATTTTTTTTGGTAGTCTTTCTTCCCCCATACGTCTAACATGTCCGTACCATGTCAGTTGTTGTTTTTCGATGTCTTCTATAATTGATCTTTGTACATTCATTTGATTTCTTATGTCCTCATTTCTCACATGTTCTAATCGAGACTTTCCCGCTGCTCTCCTCCAAAAATCCATTTCAACTGCCAAGAGGTTACCTTTAAGTTTTTGTGATAACTGCCATACTTCTGAGCCATACACGATTACTGGTTTCAATATTGTGTTATATATTCTTTTTTTCGTTTCCGGTCTTATATTTTTTTGCCATAGTACTGAATTCAATGCACCTATAACTCGTTTCCCTTTGGTTATTCTGTCTTTTATGGCTTCATCAGTTCTTCCTGTCTTTGTTAGTTTTACCCCCAAATATATACATTGATCGCATTTCTTAATTTTCCCGTCTTCTAAGTCGAGGTCATCTGCAGTATTTTCTCCTCCTACGCAAAGATATTGCGTTTTTTGTAAATTTACTTCGAGGCCCCATTTTTTGTACTCTTCCATTAGTTTTCTAGCCATATACTCTAGGTCTTCCTTGTCTTGGGCAATAACTACCTGGTCATCTGCATAATGCAGCGTGTATAACGTTTCATCCCCAATAGACAGCCCCATCCCTTTACACTTCTTTTTCCATTGCCTGAGTGCTTCGTCGATATATATATTAAATAGTATGGGAGATAAACAACAACCTTGCTTCAGTCCTTTTGTTACCTGAAAACCATTAGTAACCTTATTTCCTATTTTAACTTTTGATATTGTGTTGTTATATAGATCTTTAATAGCGTCGATTAGTGAAACGCTGATGCTGGTTTTCTCCAATACTTCCCACAATTTCGCAACAGGCACGGTGTCATATGCTTTTGTTAAATCGACTAAAAGTAAATGCACTTCTCGAGATCTCAGTGTTCTTTTCTCGAGTATTTGGGATAAGCAAAAAATACTATCTATTGTGGATCGTCCCGCTCTGAATCCGTTTTGTTCTTCTGATTCAAAAGGACGGTATTCTTCGCATATGCGTTCTTTTATAATTCTCCCATATAATCTGCTAAGCGTACTCGTAACAGTTATACCCCGATAGTTATTGCAATCTTCCTTATTTCCTTTTTTATGGATAGATGTAATCCATCCTTCTTACCAACTTTGTGGCACTGGTTCTCCGTGCAAGTGCCTATTGAAAACTTCTGTTAGTATCTCGAATAGTTTGTTGGTTCCATTTTTTATTAACTCTGCATATATCCCCTCTGGGCCCGGAGCACGTCCATTTTTCAACAATGATATAGCTTTTTTAGTTTCTTCGATGTTAATTGTTGGAGGCTCTCCTTCATTTTGTTCATCCTAACATTTTGTTATATGCCCAAAAGTTCTTTTAAATTCTATGCCTTGCTTTGTGAGAAAAGAATCAACATCTGCAAAAAGGCTTTTTTAAGTCTGCACGGTATTGGTAAAAAAAGAGTAAGAAGACTGCAAGATCATTTTGTAAAAGGTAAATCTCCTAAAGATTTAAGAAGCCAACAGAATAATCGGAGGACCCTTCCACGTGATAATACGGATCTTGTAAAAGAACACATTCAGTCATTTCCACTGAAAACAAGTCACTATTCTTCTAATGAAATAGAATCTCTAGATGCTAAGCTGGACATAAAAAAAAATGTTCAATTTGTTCCAAGAGAAATATAAAGACTTAAACGTGAAGTATAGCAAAAAGTTTTATTCATCCCTTCGACAGACGAAAGAATCGATGTTTGATTGTATGACAAACATATCGCTTCTCACAATTAAAGTGCAGGAAACATACTACCTTAGACAACTGTCCGTCTATCCGTTTGGCATACACTACAGTAATGATGACACTGCAACATTTTATTTATACCACCAGGGAGTTGCTGGAAAGGGAAGTAATGAAGTTTACTCTTTCTTGAAGAAGTATATTGACGAGAATGTTCCAGCTAATGTAGATGAATTGTACTTATCAATGACAACTGTATAGGACAAAATAAAAATCATACGATGATTAGGTTTTTAATGTAACTTACAGATAGTGGAAGATTCAAAAAAGTTGTCTATAGACTTCCAATAAGGGGTCACTCGTATTTACCATGTGACAAGGTCTTCGGCCTTGTAAAACGAAACCTAAGAAAACATGATAAATTCTACACTTTGAAAGATAAAACAGAAATAGTACTTTCATCTACAAAACAGAGAAAATTTACTGTGGATTTAGTGGAAAATGCAAATGTTTTGGACTTTCAAAGTTAATGGCCCAAATTTTACAATAAAATACTGTTTTAGAAGAAAGTAAAATTGAAACAAACAAAAAAAGTAAATGTTTACTATTTCTTCCTACCATGAATTTACTTGCGAAAGATTTCCCCTTCTCTCCCCTTCCTCATTAGCAAGAAAAACTCATGAATTAAAGGTACTAATTCATTAAGAAAAAATTAATGACCTGAAGAAAATTTTGCAGCTTGCCCAATGGCCTAGAATTGCAACGAAAAAATGAGCCAAAATGTATAAAATGGCAATTAGTTGTAGCTAATTGTATTGTCTTAGAACTGTTTTAATAAAGTAACATTAATTATAAATAAACACGGTGTAAATTCATCCACCAATCAAAACTTCTCCCGTAAAACAACACTTTTGTTTATGAAAGGCCTTTTGTAAGCTATTTTCAATAATAATAAAAATATAATATTGATTCTAAAAAGTGTAACTAACATGATTTATTTTTGAGTTTTAAGGTTGTTAAAATGTTTCGAAAAATCAGAAAAGTATAAAATCGTTTTTTATAAAACTAAACAGTTTTTTCTTGTTTTCCAAAATTTACATTTTGTGACAAAAGACCTTTCATAAATAAGCGATTCATATATATATATATATATATATAATATATATATATATATATATATAATTTTCAAAATACTGATTTCAATGTATAATACTTCCCAAAATTTCGGTCAAATGCTTTTTAAATGCATTCATTTTTTTAATCCTTGGACTAAAAACTTTAAACTAATAAGAATTTTGGAAAAATGTAAACGCAGAATAAAATATTTCATTATTACCAAAGGCCAAAAGTCCCTAAAAACTTCTATAATGTTTATTTTAATAAGTTACAGGGGTGCAGGGCCGTGCCGTGCTATGATACGGCGAGGCAGTCACATCAGACGGCATCACAAGGGGGCGGCATAATCAGTAAAAAATCAGGCTGTGTAAAAATGTTGTCAGAAACTATAGACAAAACGAAAAGTTATAGTTAATATGGCTAATGACCAAATAAAAATTTAATGAAATTGCAGAAAAGTTTATATATGTATTGCATTTCCAGCTGAAAATGAAATTTAAGCCAGGATAAAAAAGCGAGCCAGGATAAAAATGCATGCAGAGAAAATTTATTGTGATTTTTAATTTCAAATATTTCATTCAAAAGAAAGTTTTTATTTATTCTAAGGGAATTTAGGTTCCTTTAGAAATATATGATGTGTGTGTGTGTGTGTGTGGATTCAACAAAAAAGGACTCGTAAATTAAATTAAATTTATTTAAGATAAACATTAATGTGATGGTTGACACTGACGCACACTATTAACAATTTTAGATAAATCTGGTACGTAATTACTACAAGCTACTCTCAAAACATCGTCCAGGTGCGAATCAGTGAGTCGGGATCGGTAAACATTTTTTGCATATTTCAGGTTTGAATATGATGATTCGCACAGGGAGGTTGAAGCAAACAACGTGAGGAGCAAGCAAACTCAAGGTTTGTATCATTTTTAAAGTCAATCAGCTCATCTGACAACGTGTCGCTATTAAATCCCAATGCCCCAAGGTGTGTAGTAGTGCCTATTTCTAAGCGCCAGGGATTTTCCACTAATAACAAACATTTTCTGATTTTTCGCAAATCATTAAATCTTTCCTGGAGTTCATTCCCGCAGGAAACTAAGTACTTGGAAATGGTAGTATAGTTTTCTGGAGAAACATCAATTCCCTCTTGTTTAACTCCTAATAATGTCGGAAAGTTCTGTAGATTTTTTGTATTAATTTCGTCGATGTACATATTTAGCTTGTCCTCAAATTCAAATACATTATTTGCCAACTGCGAAATAATTTTGTGCTTACCTTGTACACGACGATTAAGTTCGGCAAGTTTTTGTTATGTCGCAAATAAATGCTAACAGACACCACCAACTATCGCGTTCAAGATCACTGTAAGTTTTATTATTTTGTTGTAGAAACAATATTATTTCGTACCGTAAAGAGTAAAACCGTTCTAAAACTTTTGTTCTGCTCAGCCATCGTACCCCGATATGTAAAAGTACATCTCCATGTCCACTTTTTAATTCTTCTAATTACCTTTTAAATTTTCTATGGTTAAGTTCTCGTGCCCTAATAAAATTAACGATGTTAATAACAGTTTTCATCAGGGCGTCAACTACCGGTATGGTGACGTGCTGCAAGATTTTCTTGATGTATGGTACAGTGAAATGTTAACAAATTATTTATATCATATTTTTTTTTCAAAAAAAAAAATAAACCCAATATTATTTCCTGTCATAGACAGACATTCATCTGTGCATACACATACCAACTTTTTAAGGTCAATGTTATTTTTTTTTCCAAAAACGTACAAATAACATCAATGTAATCACTTCCTTTGGTATGACCTTTCATCGGACGAAATTTGAGAAAATCAGTACAGTACCGTACAAAAAGAGAACATTGTGAAGTTGATGAAACATCAGTGCTTGAATCAAATGCCAAACTCCCATATTTACAATTCTTCAAGTTGTCGATGATATGATTAAAAGTATGTTTCGAAATATCTTCAATTCGCCTGACGCACGTTGAATCTGAGAGTTGTAGTTGTCTGATTTGTGATATTATCTGAGTTTTATTGTTGAATTTTTCAAATAAAATATTTGAAGCATTTATAAAGCATTCCTTTACAATCTCAGGGTCAGTAAATTGCTTTATATGTTTTCCTAATAAATAGCAAATTTCGTAGGACGCTCTCGTCACTGATACATCTTGTGAGATTAAAACTGTCATTATATTTTGCTCCTGCTGTAACGACCTTTTCAAGATGCATAGTTTTTCTCTTCGCAATACAGAGCCGACTGGGAAACTATCGCTAAACATATTGTGTTTTCTATTATAGTGTCTCATAATATTATACTTCTTTAATATAACACTCTCTCGACAAATCAAACAAGTAGCTGAACCGTGTTTGTTAGGTACAACAAAATATTCTTCTTCCCAATTGTCTTGAAATAGTCTGTTTGCGACAGATATTTTACGTTTTGATGTTAAGGACACGCCAGTCATTGTCACTGTTTTAAATTCCCGTCAAATCAATTATAATTAAAATTATTATAAGTAAAAGAAACACACTTCACTTGACAAAATTTGAAAAAGACGATACGTATGTAAACGGAAGCGCTGCTAAATATAATCGTATTATTTAAATTTTAAGATTTTATAAATACATATGTAGATAAGGTAAAACATTTTTAGTTAGCCTTCGGGCCGCATAAAAAACGCCCGAGGGCCGCAGGTTGAGTATCACTGATCTAAGTGTTCCAAATCCACAGCTATAGAAGATCAACACTCAAATTTTAAAAAATTTTACCCAGCCTAGATAAGGTAGTTTTGCAACAAACACAAACACTATCAGAAGAACTTATATTAGTATCACAAGATTTAACAACAACAACGACAATAACAAATATTGCTTGGGAATATAACATTCAAAAATGCACCGTTGATGATAAAATTTTACCTGAAATCAGTTTTCTATAGCACAATGTAAGGAATTTCTTGGGACTAAAATTCGTCCAAATATCAAGAAAACTAAAACTTGGTTAAAGGAAAGGCACTGTATCATGGCTACCAGAAACTTGCAAAAACGTTTATTGACAATCATTCTCCATGCAAATATATCCATATTTAAAATAGAAAAGTATAAAGCGCATACTAACGACTCTTCAGGAGAAAATCTATACCCATCGTGGTAGAGATATTCCTTACTGTGACAGTGACACTTCTTAACTAAGTCCATAACAAAATTCACTTTATAAATTCAATGGAATATTGGATATACAAAATATACAGGAAACAAACCTAAACCAACATAAAGTGTATAATTCCAGCCTTTTTAAATCATTTAGAAAATATAAAATACCACAAAATAAATTTTCTTCTGGCAGCAATGCCACCCTTGTCAAATAACCTCTAGAAGACAAGTAATTCCCAGTAACCTTAAAACAAATATACCAAAAGACAAATATTTTATTTGGAATCCTACCTAAAATCCAGTGTATCAGTTACTTGTGTTGAACTAATAGATCAGATACCCTAACCTCGTTTAATAGTGGGAGTTTTAATAGTCATAATATAATTTGGAGATCATCCTACACAGGCAGAGGAAATATTGTGGAAAACATAATTGTCGACCTTTAATTAAATGTTTTTAATAGTAGTATTTCTACCACGTTTAATATAAGCACCGGACACTCTTCAGCAATCGACCAAACATTTGCGACCATTCACTCATGTCACGGTTGACGTAGGAAGTTCTATGGTTTCGTAGGTTTAAAATGAGATTAAAATGAGAATAAAAGAGATAGAATGATAGTTGACTAGCATAGACAATGGGCGAATGATAGCTGAAAGACAAGGTGGACGAATGAGCTTATTCTCGATCTGGGGTCGTGGTGGGAATGTAAGTTCGGAAAACTAGACTACTTCCTGACGAAGTTTCTGGCCGGATATGGTAGTTTTGGCATCTTAACAAATATAATATTCAAATCTGACTCGACAGACTGTATTGTTTGTGGGGTACCGGATGCTCTCGCCCACATTTTTAACTGCTAGAGATTAGTAAATGAGGTGAGCCTTCAATAGACGAATGGATTAGAGGCTGGATGAAAGAAACATGGTAAACATAATGATAAGAGGAGAGAAAAATGAAGAAAAGTACACTGTCTGATTTTTCGGATGATGAAGAAGAAGTAGCTGGGCAGAGGAGGATTTAAACCAGGGATCTGCAATCTTGTTTCTTTTTCTCGAGAACCAAGAAGCGGTAAGTACAAAAATAAGTTTATGGCTTTACCGAAATATTTTTGATTTTTTGATTTCTTTTAGTAATAGGCAGTACTTAAATATTTTTTTTAACATTCAGTGATAAGTATGGTTATTTATAATTTTTTCCTTAATATGATATAGTTATTCGTCTTTTAAAGTATGTTTTTAATAGGATTTCAATTATTCATTGAGTGGCAAGACCACGACTCTGGAACGGGGGTTAAATTTTAGCCAGAACAAATTAAACAAATCCAGTAATCTTTAAAGCAAAGCTAAATTTTATCTTGAACCAGCAGTACAAAGACTGGTATAAAATATTTACCGACCCATCAAAAACCGAATAGGAAGTTGACGCAGCTAATATTACATGACATGATCAATTAAAATTTGAACTTTTCACTTTTTCTCCCCTATACTCATCATAACATTTTGCATTGTTTAAAGCCCTATAATACAATTCTTGCAAAAACATCTCATATCGTGTCGTTCTTTTCGAGTGCAATTGAACCCCCAGTTAGAAGAGGAGAATAAACGCCAAAATATGGCGAAATGACTTTTTAACAAAAATATGCTTTTTAAGACAAAGCCCATCTGTCCGCGTTAAGTAGGGAATGCGATTTGGCGACGTCACGGAAGAGAAAACGTGGTGTACGAAATAAACACTTATACAGGGTGAGTGGGGAGGAACGCACCAAACTTTAAGACTTAATAATATACATAACAATAAGTAAAAATAAGTCATATGTTGTTATTCGATTTTCATTTGTTTTCGAGTTATAGCGATAATAACACAAAGTTGTAATTTTACTGCTACTTATCACATTGCTGTAACAGGTATCTGTGATTCGTTTAATAATTAGTTAACTGTCATAATAGTGTAGTGTCAACGTGATTTAATGTCTATTTGACAGTTTGTATAAAAAAAGTTGTTGCAAAATGCCACATACTTATTCAAATAGTGATTATGCAAATATTGTGTTTGTTTATGGCTTTTGTAATGGAAACGGTAGAGCTGCTATTGAAAAATATCGTCAACGGTTTAGAAATCAGAGAACTCCAGATAAAAATGTATTTATTAGAGTTTTTAACAAACTATGCGAGACCGGAACGCTTCCTAGTTATAAAATAATATCGGAACGTGCTCCCCGACAAAGTTTACAAGAAATACAAAATATTCTGGATTCAGTAGAAGATGATCCAGGGATCAGCTCACGAAGAATCGGTACTCATTTAGCCATTCCTCAAACGAGAGTAATTAACACACTTCACGAGCAAGGTTTATATCCATACCACCTACAACGTGTACAGCACCTACAACCAGAAGATTATGCCAGCCGTATGCAATTTTGTCGATGGATAAATAATAATTGTCGTGTTATATCCCGCATACTTTTTACCGATGAAGCAACATTCACCAGAGACGGTATTAATAATAGCCGCAACTCACATGTATGGTCAGATGAAAATCCACATGCAACAATTGAAGCTAGTTTTCAGCACAAATTTTCGGTAAACGTGTGGTGTGGTGTGATCGACGGTTATTTAATTGGCCTTTTCATATTTGAGAACCGCCTTACAGGCGAGGAGTACTTGAATTTTTTACAGAATGAATTGCCAGGACTCCTACAGAACATTCCACTAAATATCAGAATGCAAATGTATTATCAGCACGATGGAGCTCCTGCACATTTTGCTCGTCAGGTCAGGCAACATTTAAATACAAAATTTCCAAGGCGTTGGATTGGTCGCAATGGTCCTATTAGTTGGCCTCCGAGGTCTCCAGACCTAACACCATTGGACAATTTTTTATGGAGCTGGTTTAAAAATGAAGTTTACAAGGTAAAAGTCGACACTCGCGATGCACTAATTCGACGCATTAAAAATGTTGCAGCCACAATTAGACCAAACCATGACGCAATCAGAAGAGCAACGTTGAATGTTCATAGACGAAGCAGAAAATGCTTACAGGTCAAT